GGAATTTGGCCCATGTGATAGAAAGGACTTTTGATTTCAGAGTTCAGGACATTTTTTCTTATTTCTGTTTTGTGAGAAATGCAGAAACTCAGACAGGTATTCACAACTCCACCCAACATACTTAGCATTCATCTATAGTTCAACAAAACAGCTGTGCAATGTTCAAAGGGAAGGGCATTTACTACATCTAGACAAAGGAAATTGTGTATAGCATTCATTCTTAAGTGAATCTTCATGTTCATCTTCTCAAAAGAATGTCTTCTTTGTGCTTTTGAATGAAGAATGACATGGGAGAACATCAAAATTCAGGGGCAATATTTGGAAAAAAGAAGTTTTACTGGCAAGTCTCATTTTTCTTTTCTTTTTTTATTGTACTCCAGGTGAAGGTTCACAGAACAAACAGTTTCTCACGAAACAGTAGTGCACGTGTTGTTCCAGGACACTGGTCAGCAACCCCACGACATGTCAACCCTCTCCCTTCTTGACTTTTCTTTTTTTTGGTGAAAATATACATAGCCAAAGATACACCATTTTAAAACTTTCCACATGCTCAGTTCAGTGACATCGACTACGCTCTTCCAATTGTGCTGCTATTCTCACGTTAGATGAAGGCTTACAGAACAAAATAGTTTCTCATTAAACAGCCAGTACACGTGTTGCCCTATGACAATAGTTAACAACCTCACTACATGTCAACACTGTCCTTACTCAACCTTGGGTTCCCTATCACCAGCTTTCCTGTCCCCTTCTGCCTTCTAGCCCTTGTCCCTGGACTGCTCTGCCTCATTAGTCCAGTTTTGTTTTATAGGGCTGTCCAATCCCCGGCTGAACGGTGAAGCTCAGAAATGACTTAACCACTGAGCTAAAACGGTGTTTGGGGGCCATACTCTCGGGGTGCAAGTCTCATTTTTTAAGACAGCGTATAACCTTTAATTCACATGAACAGCCACGTGTCTCTAAAAACCTGCCTTCTCACCTCTCTGACAGAATTTTATCTCTTCACTGTTAAGATTTCTCTAGAGAGCGCAGTACTGCATCATTTTGACAAACTTGAATGCCAGGAGATGAATGCCCTCATCTCTGAAACACTTCAGAGTAAGTTGCTTTAACCAGCTTCCTGTTTTTAGAGGCTATTTTCCTGTCGTCCCTTCAGGTCCATCCAAGTTCATTTAATTCTTTTAAAAGCCGTATTTTATAAAAAGCAGGATTCTGTTCACAGTGGTACTTACGGCTTGGAGCCTCTGGAGCCGCAGAGACGGCTCTTGCCTTCTGAAAGGCCACCTGCATTGGAAGGCAGCAAGAATGGAACCACAGCCACCCCGGCTCAGTCTTTTCCTACTCTTTGAAAATCCACCCGTCCTGCGGTGCGCTGATTTCTGCCAGGGCAGGGCAGGACAGAGTGTTTATAATATCATAGTCAGCGTTCAAAATATTGTGTGAAGGAGACACGGGTGGATGTGGAGAAAAACACAGGCTATTAATTTAAAACCAATTAGCTCCCTTTGGCAGTTTGAGGGGAAAACAAACAAATATACAAAGCTTTTCAATGAATTGTATCAAAAATGTATCATTCAAATAAATTGGTAATCTAAAACAGAGAAATGGTAAATGGAATGTAGTATACTCACAGGCTGATGGAGAGTCGGCTGTGGCCCCGGGGCGGGAGGGGGCCGCCTGACTCTTGTCTGTGTAGCGTTTATACCGCGCGAGTCAAGCTCTTGTGCTGTATCATGTGAGTCGAGCAGTCAGCGAGTAGAACAGCAGCAGTGGAGGCTGTATAGCCCCCAAAGCCCTTTGCAAAGTTGGCTGATCATCAGGCTAAACTATGATATCATACTTAGAGTGAAAAATCTTAGTCGTGAGAAATATTTATGACATAACATTTAGCAAAAAAATTATAACAAACTGAATATACAAGATGATCCCAAATAGTTTGTCTTCTTCGTATAATTTTTGCCTCTTTACCCCGATGGAAATGTCTGCTCCATGAAGGCAAAGAATTTGAATGTATTTATTGATGTATTTTTGTGTGTGTATGTCCTAGAACAGTGCTTGACACATAGCTCAATAAATACACACAGGCCACTTGAAAACTGATAAGTGATTATATAATGTATGTACGTAGTAATAATCATCGCAAAGCCTTTCTGGGCATACATATGTTAGGCACCGGGCTGAGAACTTCACATGCATGATCACATCTAATCCTAACAAAGTTTGTTTTGAAAGTACATTCTCACCTCCATTTTACAAAAGGACAAAGCAAGGTTGGGAGAAATTGCATCACTTGTCTAATATTACAAAGCAAATAAATAATGTGGCCAGAATTCAAAAGGTCTGTTTGATTCCAGAGTTTGACCTCTAACCATAAGCCATACTTCTTAAAATTCTTAAAACAATTGACATGTGCAGGTGGGAAAGAAAGAGATGGGGCAAGAGCAGAGATATACATACAAAGAAGATAACCAGTTACTGGGATATGAGATTTGAGCTGATTTTTTTTATTTCTGAGGTATACATTTTTATGTTTTTCCATTTTCTACTTTTAAAATAGTGAAATAAACTTATTTCAAGAGAAACGGAAAAAAATAACAGCCCAAAGTTTGTTATATGTTGTAACTGCTGAGGTAGAGCATTTCCTGATTTTCTGTCAGCCTTGTGTGACTTGCTGAGGAAACTGTGCTCTCCTTCTGTCCCTTCTTTTCATTGTTGAAAAGTTCAGTTGTTGAAGCTCAGTCTTAGGTTTCAACTCCCTTTGAAGACTTCCTAGCCATGTGAATGCAAAATTATCTGTGTATAACTCTGGCCAAAAGACACTGACAGATAGAGCTTCGTAGTGTCTGTCTTTGGAAACCTGAAGTATACCTGTCTTTAAAAGCTATGTTGGGTCTTTTACACATGCTTGGCTACTAAAAAACCAAAACCCACTGCCACTGAATCGATTCTGACTCATAGCAACCCTACAGGATGGAGTAGAACTGCCCCATAGAGTTTCCAAGGCTGTACATCTTTAAGGAAGCAGACGGTCACATCTTTCTCCCTCGGAGCAGCTGGTGGGTTTGAACCGCCGACCTTCGGGTTAGTAGCCAAGTGCTTTAACCATTGTGTCTTATATTTAACCACAGGGCTCCTTATATTTGACTACACTGGTCCATAAATGCTTCCACCACACAATGGACTGCTTTTACCTGGAGTTTATCATTATCTTTTAAACTGGTACAGTATTTAGTATACGTACATTTAAAATGTATTTATTTTATATCTAAGAAGATAATTAGATCACCAAAACCAAACCAAACCTGTTTCCTTCGAGTTGATTCCCACTCATAGCGACCCTATAGGACAGAGTAGAACTGCCTCATAGAGTTTCCAAGGAGCGCCTGGTGGATTCAAACTGCCAACCTTTGGGTGAGCCACTGCGGTAGCTCTTAACCGCTACGCCACCAGGGCTTCCAATTAGATCACCGCAGCCCAAATCATGTCGTAAAGTAAAAGGAAATAGAAAGAAGAGAAATAATGTTAAGAATGAAATTCTTCAGTTAATGGTTCATTTTTCCGTCTCCATTTTTCTCTTTATTGCTAACCAATGATGGTGGCATGTTTTCCACTTTCTAAAGGATTTTCTACAGGCCGTGGCCTAAGTTGCAAGGCTAAAGAGAGAAAGCAAAAGAGCAAAACTATAAAGCAGGTAATTAGAATGACTGAGGGAATGCTATTAAAGTTATTGAGGTCACCGTAACACCAAATTCTCGAGTGGTTCGAGATGACTGTTTCCTGCAGTAAAGACCAGAGATACCAACCCCACGTGAAGGCGAGCAAGCAAGGCGGTGACTCAAATGTCTCTAACAAGCAAGGAATAAAGTTGTAAGTTGAGAACATCTTGGAGGTTGTCTGAAAGACCTTTAAAAATTCCTGAGATTTGTCTAGACATTCCAGACATAATTTCAGAGGCTTCTATCGTCCAGGCCTGTTAAGAATGAGTTAGGTGGAGTTTTTCAGATCTTTGTGATTTAGTTGCGTTTTTTTTTTTTTTTCTTCCAAGAGCATTGTTCTGATTTTTATCAGTTATAAGCAAAGCTTTCCAATACCATCTCTCCATGACTTTATTTGGCAGAAATGAGGGCTTGGGAGTGATGATATTGGTTTTGGGCGTAAGTATGGTTTAATGTGTTCTGATCATGGTCTTCCTTGTCTGTGATGACTTCACTTGGGCCCATCATTCTTTGCGTAGTTTAAAAAAGGAAGAAATTACATTCCTAAATTATCAAAAGTAAGACAACACTTTGAGTGACAGATTTTTAAAAATCATCTATGCACATTGAGTTGAAGAAATGACATTTAGTTAAGTTCACATTGTGAGGTTATGTGAATAAATGATCCATTACCAGGAATGCCAGTGTGCCTACAGAGTTTCTCTCAGAAAAGACAAAAATCCTCCTGTGTTTTTCATTTCCTTCTTTGGCGATTACAGTGAGCAGTGTGAAGCACACAATTTCACTTTTAAATTTGTGACTTCTAAAAATTCTTTTTCTTCCTGATATCATAATGTGGCCCCAGAAAATCAGACAGTTGTTATTACAAATACAGAGCAGCTCCACTCAGACGTTGAATAGACAATTATAAATGTCTGGATTCTTTTCTTTTTTGTGGTGACTGCTTTTAGATGTGGAATAAAACCACATTAACCAGAGGTTATTGTTATTGGTGGTTAGTAGCCTATTGCTGCCACATCTATAAAGTATCTTGGTTTTTTTTTAATAAAACTTCTTTTTCATTGTTTAACAATAACTTTCCACTTTGTAAGACTTCTATCAGGAAGCATCATTAAAGTATAAAAATACTAAAACTTCAGAAGACAGAGAGACCGTAAAATGTCATCTAATCAACTCCCACTGTTGACCGGTGAGAAAGTGAGGCTCTGAAAGAGTGAATGACCTGCCCACAGGCACACACGAGATCAACAGTGTGTTCAAAGTGTGTTTTTGTCTGTGATTCCTTAGATGGCCGCCCATGTCCTATCATTCTCTGGGACTCATCTTTATCTCCGACAAATAATGAGACACACTCTTCTTTGAAGCTCACCTGGGGAACTTACCAGCAGTTGCTGAAACAGAAGTGCTGGCAGAATGGCCGAGTACCCAAACCTGAATGGGGGTGTACTGAAATACATCACCATGAGTGGTCCAAGATGGCACTCTTTGATTTTTTGTTACAGGTAAGTTTATCAAATCAACTAAGTCGTTATTTATACAAGACTGACACTAAGGACTTTTGAACGCCTTGAGTTTTTATGAAGACAGAGTTTAAGTTTTATAATGGTATTATTGCAAGTATTCATACATGCCCCTTAGTCCTTTTATTAATTTCTAAAGAAGTAGTTTACTGGCTGTCTTGCAATAGTCGTAGCTATACTTCATTAAGATAATCCCTCAACAGCTCTTCAAGGTGGGTAGTCTTACCCCATTTGGAGGGTGAGTAAACTGAGGTTTGGTGAGGTTAAGTAACCACCAAAGTTCTCACAACTACTAAAAACTGAAACTGGGATTTCCTGGGATCTGCTGATGGTAAAGGTTTGTCTTTTTTCTGTCATCCCACACTATTTCAATGGTCACCTGGCCACAGAGCTTACAACCACCATTTCCTTGTTTTTTTTCCAAAAATGTTTGTGAATTTTTTTTATGAAGACAAGACATTAGAGAATAATAAATGTCAATCATCCACATAACCCAGTGACTCCTGGCATTTTATGTTTCTCATAACCCTTATCTCCTTTTGGTAAAGATCTCCTGACTCTCTCCTCACCCCCACATTCTGATTACTGCCTTTCCATTCCCTCATTTTAGAAAAACACATTTTCTGTTGCCGTTGAAATGGATATTTTATTGTTAATAAACATTGTGTAATTTAGGACTGTGTTAGGACATTTACAAAGCATTTTATTCCCCCTTTTTTGTGTGTGACATTTCAGGAAGGAACTACAGGGACAAAAATTAATGATGACTCTCAAGTTTTCCTTGGGATAATGAAACAAGTTGAAGTGATAAAATGTAATAGCAATAATGTGGAGAATGACTGAAGATTCCTCAAGTTGAGTGGGTAAAGTTACTCACTAGGAGGCCAGAAATTTTTGGGAGTGGTCAGCAAAGATGTTGACATTACTGAGGATGAAGACTAGGGGGAGGAAGAAGAGGAAATCTATGAATCTGGTAGTGAAGTCTGTGAGAAAGGAATAACCTTAAAGTTTGTTACTGATGAACAAGAACTAACCTATACTGCAGGACAAACCTTTGTAGAAGCCCTCTCTGGTGGCACGTGTTTAGTTCTGGAATCATCAAGTAAATCTCACTCTAGTGTCTACAGTTCCCATCTCTGTTGAAGGACGTTCCAACTATCATTCAACCAACCAAGATGTATTCATGTAACATTATTTCACCGTAAGAAACAACCACAGGAGTAACAAAGTAGTTAATAAGATGACTATCCCTCCTGCTCCTCCTCAAGCTTAATTTTTTTTTAAATATGTAGTTGGGAAAATATAGTGTATGTAAACAAAAAGATAAAGAACTGTGTAAGAATGCCGAACTAATGTAAGTCTTAACTTCAAGCAACAACAACACAAATTGTTATAAGATCCAAAGAGGGAGGGATCACTTTGCGTAAAATTGCTAGTTAGGAAGGAAGGGTTTGAGTAGAACCGTAAGCTGTACATGATAGGGAGGATGGGGAAAAGTGTGAGAAAGAACATTGGCTATTTGGCAATCTGATAGAGCGTGATGGCGTCTTCTTTATATTTGCAGGTCTTTCATTTGGAGTGAGATTGAGGAGATCATATTTACAAAGGTTTTTTGATTATGAATAGTTCTTTTTCTCTGAATTGCTTGTTCAAATTCTTGTCCATTTTTTTATTATTGCATTTTGCAACCTTTTCTTACTGATTTATGAGATCTTTTTGTGTATCATGTAGATTAGCCTTTATCGATCCTATATGTTTCAAATAATTTTTCTTACTTTCATATTTTTCTTTTGATTTTGTTTAGGGTAGATTTTACTCCATAGAATTTTTACCTTTTTTTTGCATAGGATAATATCTTAATTAATTTTTTACTTCCTGTGTTTAGAGTTACACCTAAGAAAAGTGTTTATTGAATGAATGAACAAACACACTGACTATTTTTCTTGAGGACTATCATACATTCTTAGTATCTTCTCATCAATTACATTAATATTTTTATTTCAATGTCAGATCATGTATCTTATTTAGATGACATTTGGGGATGTATTAGAAAGTCTTAGATGGATTTTGTAAACAGTCTTAGAAAAGTCATGCCGGAAGCAAACTAAAATCACTTGCTGTATGTTGCTAGAGCAAGGGCAGGAATGCAGAACCCAGTTGTTACTTTTCTGTACGCAGCATTCTTTTTGTTTCACTCAGATAACAAATCTGCGCTCACAAAGGCTATGCCATTTTACTGAGTCTGTAACATGTGATGGAATCACAAACACTTTTATTCTTGAAGCGTGGGGGTATGAACTGCGTAGACAAAAATTCACCTCCATTAAGTTGACAATAAGAAGTATTTTAGACAGCTTTTGAGTTTTCAAGACTTGGTCAAATCTCTCTCAAAGGGCTCTATAAAATAAAAGGGGTGAATTCAGGGTGTAGAAAACTTTCTTTTTGACCTCAGGCCAGTTTAAGATGGTGGTTAGGAACGGAGAGTCTGGAGTCAGTCTGTTGAATTTGAATTTCAGCATTGCCACTACTAATCTTTTGACCTTGAGAAGTTACTTAGCCTTTTTCTGGCTTAGTTTCCTCAGCTGTAAATGGGAATAATAATAGTTCTTCTATAAAGGGCTACTGAGATGACTAAATATCTTCATACATGTAAAGCATTTAGAATGGTAAGTGGTACATAGTAGGTGTTCAGTGATTATTAGTTATTAAACAGTCGATCATTCAGAAATAATCATAGAGGTAAATATCAATATAAGAACTAATTAAACTATTTTACCATTATTCTTATTCATTATATTGCAAGTCATTCCCCAATCATTTCATTTTTCTCTACTCTTATGGACTTTCGCATTTACATTGTAGGTCTTAGACCATCAGGTTTTAATTATTTTTGACTAGTCTGTCTGCTTCAATAAGCTGTGAATTTCTCAAGGGCAGGTCCTTGTCTTATTCAACTTTGAAACCTTTTCATTATGCAGCATAGTGTTTGATATGTCAGTCGGGGCATCATTTTATTGATCAAAGAAAACTGCCTAGTATATTAAAATATTAAATGTTAAATGTCAAACGAAAAATGTTAAAAGTGAAAGAAATAAAAGTATACTTGCAGTACAGAAATAATTTAAAACTTTTTTTAAAGGAAGAGAATTAGAAGTTTAGAAAATGAAAGAATCAAATAAACAGAAAATTTGTAATACTTTCACTGTTCAGTGAGGTCCTTCATGCACTTCAAACTTTTTCTAAGAATAATTGTTAGTCAATGAGAAATTAAGGCATATTTATATAGAGGGAGACCAATGAAGATATGTCTCGAGATATTATTTGCCTCTACCATCAACAAAATTAACTGCAAATATTTCTTTCCATTTGAATTTGACAGTCTGTTTTTGAGGCCTTATTTATCCCAGATACTTAGCAGACTTAGGGCTGGTGCTACAAAATGAATGAGACCATCTCTGTGCCTTCCAGAGTTGTCCAGTCTAGCAGAAAAGAAAGATAACCATAGCAGAAAATATCAAGCACTATAATAGAGTTAAGTTTAAAATGCTTACGGAGTACTGAGTTTCTGTTAAAGATAACAAAAAAAATTGGACACAGATAGTGATGGCTGTTATACAACATGGTGAATATAATTAATGTCATGGAATTGTACGACATTTTATGGTTGAAATGGAAAGTGTTTTGCTATATATATTTCACCACAATAAAAAATTTTAAAAAATGACTTGGTTTCTTCAACAAATAATATTTACAAAGGAAAAAGAGGAAGCGGGATCTTACATATTAAAAGAGACTTAAGAGACATATGGAGCAAATAGATTTTGGGCAAATTTGAACACTGAATATTTATGATCATATAGATTTACTTTAAAATAATCTCATTGTGGGAATGGCTAATGGAGTGGGCGATGATATAGTTGAAATAAGAGTGGCTGAGAGTTGATGATTTTTTATCTGGGTGATAGGTATGTAGTAGTTCATTGTTCTCTACTTTTATTTCATAATAAATATCTTCATTGCCACAAAAATGCTATAAAAACAGGCAAGGACTGTTAGTTCTGGAACTGGGAGGTAGAAAAGGGGTGGACAGAGAATGTAACATTTAATCTAGTAACTGAAAAATCAGGAGAGCATAAGAAATAGAAAGAGTGTTTCTGAGAAGAATCCTAGTAAAGGGCTAACCATGTGTGAAAGTTCAGTGAAAGGGAGAAATGATCTTAGGGAAACTTTGTCTTCCCTAAAGATTGTTTTCTCCCAGGTGGCTGTGAGTGATAAACTGTTTGTAAATTCAAGAGCAACCATTTCTGTGAATCTGTATGATTGTCCTCTAGAGTTGTCTCTTTTCAGCTAGCTCTCCTCTCCTAACTTCTGTCTGGATGTTGATGAATTAGCCTCCTAGTGTTAATCTTTGACCTATTCCCTCCCACTCTTGATTCTGTGGGTCATTTTTCCTGTTTAATGGTATGATAATAGTAAAAGTAAAAATTCCAACCAACTTTTATCTAAACAAGAAGAAACATTACTTTTCACTGAAAAAATATTTATTTCTACGGGAACATTCTACATGCTAGGCAAAGAAAAATTCCAACTACAGCCCCCTTAATGAACTATGAGCATCTCCCAAGTATTCCTTCCTTATATCCCTGCTACTCAGTGATCAAGGGTCTTGCCTCCACCTTCCAGAGGGCCATCAGGGATAACTATCACAGGCTGGTGCTCTGGTGGCAAGAGACATACTTATCTAGGCCCTAGACACTGGAATTTCAAAGAGTTTGGGTCAATTTTATTGTGTGGCCGAATTACAACACTGCTAATCTTAGTGGCTTGTAGCCATGTATTTATCGGTTAGTCCAAGAAAGTAAATGATTTTCATTCTCTTTCAGTTGCTAGCTAAAAAAGAAGGTTAGGGTAGTCAGATACTGTCTTGGATTGAAGTAACAAAGAAAGCTGGAGGTTAGCTTTGCCAATATTCGTTAGCATGCTGAATTGGCTAGGATCTAGGGATCAAAGATTGCTAAGGATCAGAGGGTTTAGAGAACCATACATTCCTGATTTTTATTGTTGAGACATCTTCCTCATTCCTTTTTATGGTGAGAATCAGAGTTGTCCACTTGGTTACAAAGAGTCACTTACTAAGGTAAAGGATATGGGAAGTGTGTCAGTCGAGGTGTGAAGAAGAATGAGCTCCAAACTGGATCGGTATGAACATGCTAAGCACTGGCATGTATCGTGGTTAGCACAGAATTTTAATTATATAAAACTAGATTCACCCTTTGTTATAAATGAAATCCATACGTCTGGCTTTGACATAATTTCTATTATATGTATGTTTATATTTTGTCATTAGGAGAAATTCCTTCATTATTAATGATACTAAAACACAAGGCTGCTCTTATTTAAAGAGCCCTCAGAAAACTTCCCCAATGATCTTGCGGTACTACAGTTTCATTCTTAGTACTTCTTACAATAAATGAACAAACTGTCCAGAAAACTTGGTATTTATTGCACGCCTACAAAGTGTTTATTGCTTTACATGTTTATATATTCTGACTCATGGAGACCACATGTATATAATTCAAATGCAACATGTAATTTGGTTGGCGTGTCTTTTAATCTAGTGCTCTCTTTTTTTCTCTTCTCAATATGTCTGTTGAAAGTATTTTGTTTCATTTTATTTTGTAGAGAATTCGACACTCCGGAGTTTGCTCGTTGCACGTCTGTGGTGCCTTTAACTTGTCCCTCTCTTCTCTGTATTCCCTATACATTGGTAATTCGATTTATAGACTTGATTAGATTCAGATTTGATTTCTTTGGGAAGGTTTCTTTATAGGCTATTGAGTGTTTTTCCACCAGGAGACATATAATGCCTACTTAGTTTTTCTTTTTGCGGTGTTAGCAGCTGCGATAATAACTGTTGATCTGGCAATTCATTAGGCATTGAAAAATGGCAATTTTCGATTTCTATCATTACTTCTTCGCATATCAGCTGGATTACTTCTATAAAGAGACCTTTTCTTCTCTTATTTGGTTATCCAGTAGTACAGGTTTTATGGTGAAATTAGCATTGTTTTTAAGAAACACCATGATCTGACCTTCTAACTTCTTTGCATTCTTCCATTCTTACCTGCATGAGTCCTTCAGACAGTGCTTGTGATTTGGTTTGCAGTTTGGTCTATTCACTGTCAGCTGAACATGACTCCACACTCTTGTTCTTGCTCTTATTCACCACTGCAATACTACTCCTACTCTTCCCCATCAAACGCGTAGCCTACCCCTCCTTCAAAGTCCAGCTCAAATCCTCTGTCTATAAAGACTTCTAGGAACAACTTAACCATCTCTCTCTCTCTCACTCTCTCTTCTCTGAATATCTAGTATCTTTTAAAAAATTCTGTCCTGAATTTTGGTACAATAAATTTCTAGAGAAACATCATAGAATAGTGTTTATGTAAAACAGACTTGAGTATAAACTCCAGCTTGAATTGTCATCTGTGTAACAAATTTGTAATCTCTCTGAGCTTCAATTCTTTATTTTTTCAATGGGAGAATGATTCTATCTCCCTTGCTGATTTTTTTAACGAGAACTGCATGAAATTGTGCATATGAAATACTTATCATGATATCTGGCAGATAGTAAATACACGATAGATCAGCACAATCATCATTTAGAACCACCTCATTTTAGAATTTGAACTTATTATGAACATTTATATGTATACATACCTCTGCTTCCCTGAATCCCCAGATATGGCAAGCCTCTCATGGTAGAGATCATGCAGGTCCTTCTTTGAATTTTTCACCATGGAGAGATGCTCATTACAGCATTTTGTGCCGTAAGAAACCACGGGGAGCACATACATCTAGTTTCCTGGGCTCTGTCACTCAGGATGGGTTTGGGGTATGTCATGGATTGAATTTTATCCCCCAAAAATAATCTGTCAACTATCATGTAATAAGATGGATTAGTGGCAGTTATACTGATGAGGTCTACAAGATTAAGTAGTGTCTTAAGCTAATCTCTTTTGAGATATAAAAGAGAGAAGTGAGTAGAGATACCTGGGAACCTCATACCACCAAGAAAGCAGTCCTGGGAGCAGAGCGTGTCCTTTGGACCTGAGGTTCCTGTGCAGAGAAGCTCCTAGACAAAGGGAAGATTGATGACACAGACCTTCCTCCAGAGCTGACAGAGAAAGCGTTCCCCTGGAGCTGAGACCCTGAGTTTGGACTTGTAGCCTACTGGACTGTGAGAGAATAAATTTCTCTTTGTTGAAGCCATCCACTTGTGGTATTTCTGTTAGAGCAGCACTAGATGACTAAGACAGGGTAGGTGGTTGTCAATTTTGTATAGGTGGGGAGAACTGATGTGTTTGTTAACTAGCGTATAGAATTTGGGGAGCTAGTGAGGATTTCATACTCAGATTTTGCTCCTAAAGGTCTCCGTTCCCTTTGTTGAGATGTAAAATGTACCTCAATGAACAAAGACTAACATAACAAATATTATGTTTACACATTCCAGAATTATACCATCCATATTTTTTTCCATATTTCCTTTCAGTCATTATTTTACAGATATAAAAAGATTACAAATAAGTTCCCTTTGACTATCTCCTCATGTTTTCTTCCTACACTTTCTCCTTAGAGGTGATCATCATTATGAGATTAGTATGCATCCTTCCAGCCAGTTTAAAAATAAATTTACATATATATGTATATGTATATATCCTTATATAATAAGTGAATATGTGCATTTGTTTTTACTTATCTACTATAAATGCAGTTGACCATGTGTATTTTTCTGCAGTTTGCTACTCCGAAACCTTTAACAGTTGGAGGGACAGGGTCTATCCAGGCTGTGGTTTTGTGATGCCAGAAACAGGGGGTGTGGTGGGAGGTAGATATCAGGGAGGGTCTCCTCTTGAGCACATATGTCTACACAGCAGCAGCCAAGAAGAAACTGTCCCTCTATTGGAACCAATCTTGATATTACAGATGTCACAAAGCATTTGTTTATTGTTTTTCCCCTCATTTCAACATCATGTAAAAGGCTTTGCTTGGCTTTCTAGATATTTTATTTAAATAGTTGATTTATAACAATTTGTTCTTACTTCCTTGTTAGCACAGCTTAGTATTTTCTATCTTTCACTGTATAAACAAAATCAGGAATCATAAGCTTACAGGAAACTGCTTAAAGAATTCAACTAAATTAAACAAGTTTGAATTGAAGGATTTCTATGTTCTATCTAAACTATTCCCAATCAATCTGTGATCCTCAAGCCATCATTTTGGATTATGTGATTCACTTCTTGAATCTAACAAAGCCACTTCCTTACCTAGAGACTATGATTCTCTTGTTTCTTAGTGTGATTCTTTCATAAATGTTCTCCTGTTTACCCCCTATATCGAATCTCACTTTGACCATTCATGGAATACATCCCATCCCCTTACACATGGTAACAACTTCTGAGTCCTCCTTCCAAAGAGAGTCTGATCTGGGAAGTCTATAAAACCTCCCTCTGCAGAAATTTTTTTGAATTTATTTTTATTTTAATGTTGTACTTTAAGTGAAAGTTTACAATTCAAGTTAGTCTCTCATACAAAAACCCATACGTACATTGTTATGTGACCCTAATTGCTTTCCCTATACTGTAACAGAGCATTCCTCCTTTCCGCCCCTGATTTCCCGTGTCCATTCAACTAGCTCCTGACCCTCTCTGCCTTCTCTCTCACCTCCAGACAGGAGCTGACCATTTAGTCTCGTGTATCTACTTGAGCTAAGAAGCACACTCTTCACAAGTATCATTCTATGTCCCATAGTCCAGTCTAATCTTTGTCTGAAGAGTTGGCCTCGGGAATGGTTTTAGTGCTGGGTTGACAGTCCAGGGGCCATGCTTTCTGGGGTTCCTCTAGTCTCAGTCAGGCCATTAAGTCTGGTCTTTTTACTAGAATTTGAGTTATGCACCCCATTTATCTCCTGCTCCAACAGGGACTCTCTGTTGTGTTCTCTGTCAGGGTGGTCATTGGTGGTAGCTGGGCACCATCTAGTTCTTCTGGTCTCAGGCTGATGAAGTCTCTGGTTTATGTGGCCTTTCTGTCTCTTGGGCTAGTACTTTCCTTATGTCTTTGGTGTTCTTCATTCTCCTTTACTCCAGGTGGGTTGGGACCAGTTGATGCATCTTAGATGGCCGCTCACTAGC